AACATACTATTATATATTTCCTATATATGTATTTTCAGCAAGGCTTCTGGAGGTCCTGCAGACTGCTACAAATTGTGAAACTTACCCATTTTTTTTTTGCAAAAACCCCATAATTTTGCAGTGATACAGAGATTGCAGTGGATTAAGAATGATTCATGTTCATAAAACCCCACACAACCCAGATCCTAAGCAGCAGCAAATCTTGAGTGATTTGAGAGTAGCAGGGACTGTTGTGATGTTGGCTGGCAGCGGGTTAATACCTGGATATGTTTATCAGTGTTATTGTTGGGTTGTTCTTATCTGAGTGTCTGGGCTGCTGAGGAAAGAGCACACTGAAAACCAGCACATCATTTTGGCTGTCTGTAAATCTTCTTTTAACATTTATTTAGAAGTACATTACAGATAGATGGACCTTACAATGAAGTGTTTTATGAGAAGCTGCTGGACCTTTCCCTGGAAGATGATGGGACAGTGGCATTTGCGTTAACGAAGGTACTTCCCAACTTGTTGAGGCTGTTTGGTCTGTCAGTGTTAATTAACCTGTCTCACTGAAAGGGCTGCATAATGGATGGAGGCAGCACTGCTGGCTTTTCCGGGTCTGTGCAGTTAAAGTTCCTCATTGTGTCGGGGTGCATCTTTATACCAGAAGCAGTTAAAAACAAACTTGTAGCACCAGTTCCTGAGAGAAAAATAAAACTGTTTATTTCCTTTCTAGACTGAGGAAGCACTTGCAGGAACTGATGCTGTTTGGCCTTTAGGAATATGATCTGTAGGAAATAAAAATTACTCTTATACAGGATGCTGCAAAAGCACCTGCTCCTGCCAACCTTCTGTTCCAGAGAGAATTTCCAGCTCTTAAACTGCCCACATACCAATACAGGGGGTGCAGTGCTGGTTTTTTAAGGAACGGGATGCTTTACTCAGGTAAACACCTCTCTAAGAGAAAACCTGTGTTATTTTCTGTTGTACAGGTGCAGCAGTACAGAATAGCAATGACTGCTAAAGACTGCTCCATCATGATTGCCCTATCACCCTGCCTGCAAGATGAATGGTAAGAGCTGCCTGCACTGGCTTTGGAATGGCTCCAGTTGTTTAGAAATTGGGATGTTTGTACTGTTCAGGCAATTCAGTCACTTAAAAAAAGTGTGGGATGTGTGTTGGGGGGTGGTGTATCCAAATTTTTGGCCGTGAGCATTTTAGTATAGTTCTGATTGAAGACATTTATAATCAATACCTCTTTCTAAAGAGTTTTAAATTGATCAAAATGATCAAGCTTTTATGTTTATTCCCTTCTTAAACTTTGAATTGACTGTTCATAGTAGCTCTGTATGGTTTTAACTAGGTACAGTTTTTCTGCCTTGGTATTCTCAAAGGAGAGATTTTTCAAGCTGAGTTGCCTTTAATGGCCTAGTTAGAATAAAACCAAGGCAATAATCAAGAGGTGACAGCTTTGGCTGTCAGGCAGGAGGCTTTGCCACAATATTATCCCTTTTGATTTGTGTCAGCAGTGCTAATCTCTTCTTCTGCAGGGGCCTTTGCTTCACCAGAGCCCTTTTATTTTTAGAGACTGCTCTTTTCTGCATTTGTCTGCAGTTCTCCAGTGAAGTGTTAGTGATGGACATGACTTGTGCAATGCCTGACTTCAGAACTCCTCCATCCCATAGCATGCTTGGACAGCATACGAAATGTTTTATTACCTTGAACCTAAGTGGGAGTTGCAGTCCCTTTTCTGCTTTTGCTGTTAATAAGGCTGTTGCTTTGTATGCACCACCTAGAAACAGCTTAGATTTACTAAATACAGTAAGTGAGAGTAATGTTTGCCTTCCTTGTGTGGAAGCTGAAAGGAAAATTAAAAGAAGAGATGCCAGCAAGGTCCCATTAGGACTGGTAGAGCTGGAGTTATAGTTTCCTAAGTGCTACATTAGCTGCAGTTTATTTTCTTGAGCTCCAACAAAATTTCTAAGATAAACATTAGAGTCACTTCTGCAAAGGGACACATAAATTAATAAAACTGAGTTCAGTGACTCAGATGGGCAATGTGGTTTTATTTTCCAGCTCTGAGCAAAGACCTGTGGTACTGACATCCAAATCCAGATTCATCTTCTCTGTTTCTGTGCTGGACTTGGACCTGAAGCCCTATGAAAGCATCCCCCACCAGTACAAACTCGATGGTGAAATAGTCAACTATTACCTGAAAAATGTACAGGCCAAAGAGGACCCAGTTATGTCCAACCTCTTCAAGGAGAATGAAGACTGTACATTAGTTCTCCATAAAGTGTAACCATTCCCTTAAGGTTATTTTTATTCAAACACATGAGAAAGTGAAAGATATTGAAATACAGTTATGGTGATTTTTTTTTTTTCCTTTTCTATTGTGTTCAGTGCATTTTTCAGCTGTGAATGTTTTTGCTTTATGAAATGATTTCTAATGGGTAATGCCTTCTCAGAGACCTGGGATAGCACTAAGCCACATGTTTGCTAGATAACCTTAATGAATGTATTTAATGTGACAGAACAGGTAATGTGCCATACCTTGGAACTAGAGGACAGATCAAATTAATATGAAAAATCTACTTCCTTAGAATTGAAAGAGCACAGAATTAAAGGTTTCCTGAAGTATTGCACTAACATAGAAAGCCTAATTACTAACAAGAGAATTACCTTGGACCCTGTGCTTTGAGTCTCCCTCATCCCTACTAAAGGAGGGAATGCTCTGGCAAAACCTATACAACACTTTAGCATTAATCCACTGGAAATACAACCACGCAGTGGCTGCTCTGTGGAACTGCCCTGGCACTGCAGAACGTTTCAGTACTAATGCATGGACTAGGAACGCCAGGCTGCCTCCAGAAGTTGTGTGATCACCTTGTATCTACCTAAAGCTTCTGAAACAAAGTGCAAAGGGTTAAGGTAAGCAACCTTGAGTTTTACATGATAGTTGGGCTAAGCTCACCTGCCATGCTGGTTTTTATTGTCTCTGTACATTATATGCTGCTATTGGAGGTGAAACCACAATTTGCTCTTGCCTAATTTAAATTGAGCTATAAGAAGAATATGTTCTGAGTTTTAGAGGTTATTTCAGGTCTTTCAGTAGTGTCAAACATTGGCACTATTACACTGATGCCCCACACACTGCGTAGCATGAGCAGCTGCTTTCAGGCTCTTTTGCTGTAAATGACACAGGAAAAGGTGACAGAACCCCATTTTCTTCCCTACAGCTGCAGTGGGTCAGTCTTGTGCCAGGGTGAGCTTGTGTCAGTGCTGCAGATGAGCAGTGCTTTGTGCAGCTGAAAGCTGGGGAGGTGCTGCAGCAAAGCCATCCTTGAGGAAGATCCTGAGCTGGATCTGAAGGGTATTACCAAACCTGAGGGTGCCATGATAAAATCTGCAGCTCTTTTTCCTTCAAGGACTACACCCCCTGAATGGTGCAGAGATCCTGCTCCAGCCCCAGCGAACAGCTCTTACCCGGATACAGCCTGTGCTTACCAGCAATGGTGTTCAGGGTCCTAAAAACAGTGTAGCCTTTGAATTGTTCCACTTTACCTGAAATTCAAAAATAGGACCCCCTGTACCTTGGCACAACTCAAGGAAGACATGTGAAACACAGAGCCACTACTGTCCCTGTGCCAGAGACCTGAGCTGGCAGTGCTGGCACCCAGTGCCAGGAGCCCTTCTGGGGCAGGGCCTGAGATGTGAGATTACAATAGTGCAATGAGCTGGCAGCAGGAATGACCCCTTCTTCCCAAAGAAAACCTGGAGGAGAAGAGCTCTTTATAAATCCAGAAACCCTCCAGCTTTTAGAAAGAGGAGGAAGGAAGGACCCTGCACAGCTGGGAAGTTCCCAGGTTTTTATGCTGTAACTTTACACGTTTCATATGCAAACAGCAGTGTCTGTGCTGAGCGAACAGTTTTGTTTTCAGGCAAGGAGAAGGGAGCTAAAGATGAACTGAAGGTTACACAAAACTGGCTCAACCAGTTCCGTGTCAGTGGAGAAGTAAGGAGGAATTTTCCTGTGTACTGGATCCAATCTTGAAATGAGCCTGCCTTATCTAACAAGATAGAGCTGCCATTAATCAAAACCCAATCTCTGGTGTTGTTTGGAGTCTGGCAGAAACCAGGCTCTAGTCTGTCAGTTTTTCCTAACCTACAAGAACAGTGGGAGACCATTTCAGTGATCAAATAGTGGAATAGTACATTTATGGGATTAGAAACATACTGTTGCTGTAGTTCAGACTTCACCTCTTTCCCCATTGCTGCATGGAGCAGGTGGTTGTGCTGCCAGGGGCTCTGGCCTTGGAAAGGATGGCTCTTCCTACCAGGAGAGCCCAGAGCTGGGGGGTTTGGGCTCTTGGTTCCAGGAACTGCCCCACCTGAGAAGTACCTGACTTCCAGTCACATCAGTTTGGCTGGGGTGCAGTGCTAATGCAGAGCAGGTACTCCTGGAAACACTGTAAGTTCCCAGACAAGCTCGTGCCACATCTGATAGAATGTGGGAGAGGCAAGACATTCGTCTGAGTTGTTTTATTTCTTCAGGGATGAATGTGTGAAAGGTGATGTGTTGCCAGTATTTCTTCCTGAAGTCAGAAATGCAAAGAAGTGCTGCAGTGGGCAGGAGGTGACTGGCTCACCAGTTCCCAGTGGGCGTCTCTGGGTTAGATTAATGCTGTCTCAACACACATTGTGGAACAAAGTTACTTCATACAGTTACCTTTGGGTTTTTTAGCATTGTGTGTCTTTGAAATCTTCAAATTGTCTTCTTCCACCCTAATTTAATGAGAAAGATGTTTAACTCTTTGTTCTAGGAGTCTTTTACTGTTCTTTTGTCATTTTAAAATCACTGTACTTTTACAGAGCTGTGAAATGAATTGGATTTTTATGGACTTGATTTTGACAGTGCATGATCTTTTAACAATTTCCAGGTATCTAGAAAATGTTAAGAAGATAAACCACTCTGGTACATTAATGATTCAGAAAGATAAATTTATAATGAAATCACTCTGTACATGTAACTATTTTATTTGGCATTTTTGTATTTAAATGGCTGTATTTATTTTCATGTCATGACAATTTATATATAACGTGCCATAATTGTACAGATAGCATGTTTTATGAGTATGGTTTCTAAATGGAAAATAACTTAATGTTTATATTCAATAAAATTACAGACTGTGTAACACAATATCTTAATTAAAACTACTTTTGAAATTGCTACCTGGTGTAAGTAATGCTGGCATTCATTTTCCTGAGCCCAGCACTTTGATCAGGTTCTCGATGGCTGCCTCGATCCCGAAGAGCCGGAGTGCGCTCCGGAACTTGCCAGGGATGCTCTCCACGCTGCTCATCCTCTGCTCCAGGACTGCAGTAGAAACAGAGCAGTGCAGGTTATTTTCCAAGAGTTGCAGCAGGGCTGACAGCAGGTGGGTAAAGCAGGGTGCCTGCAGGCAGACAGGGTTTGTGAGCCCTTGGAGATTACACAGGAGGTGAAGTGTAGCTGCTGCTGAATTGGGGTGGGTTTGTGTGGCTGGGCTCTGGGAGTTGGAGTTCCATGGCCCCAACCAGGGCCTGGCAGTTCAGGAACAGTCCCTGAAGTAATTGAGATTACCTTGCTTTGGTATTTTGGGCAGCAGGTCCAGGACAGGTGTAGTGATCCCTTCTTCATCCAGATGGATCTTCCAGACAATCATCAATTCAAACCTGTACCAGGTGCACAGGAAAAGCAGTTCAAGTTAACCAGGTGCTGTCTTTGAGGTTCCTTCAAAGACAAAAAGTGCAGCAGTCACGAGACTCAACCTTGTGCTCTCAACAAAATTTGCCTCATATAATGCAAGAACCATCTCTGGATTCAGGAACCAGGAACACATCAATCCAATGACAAGGAAAGGTTCTGGCTACATCCAATTTGCACAGTGCAGTAAAAGTGAGAGGAAAGCAAAGGAGAGCACTGAGTGTCCCCTGGCTCTATCCCTCATGTAAGATCTACACTCAGGATCAGGTGCTGAGAACAGGAAACTTGTTTCAGAAGTGTTTGCATAAATGGTGATGTGCTGGGTTTGGAATAAGGACTACCTTGCTATTTGTGGCCTTTTTAGACTAATGGCAGGTAGGCATCTATCTAAGGCCTACATTCCTGCAGTTCTTTGCTTTTAATTAAAAAAAAAAAAATAAAATTAGGCCTAACAATATCATTACTTCTTCAGGAATAGTGTTGGTAGTTATGCAAGGCCAGTCATGATTCCCAGCTTTCAGAGTGGGATGGGAATCACTGCACCATCCCCAGGGGACGGTGAGGCAGGAGCTGAGTCCAGAACAAGACCCACAGCAGAGCTGCTGCTTTACAGCTCCCTTTGTTCCCTCCACCCCTCACCTTCCTTACTGGAAGTAAGGCTTTCCTAATCCAAAGCTGTGAGGAGCAAGATCCCTTTCTCAGTGGTGTTCAACCCATCATGACTCTTAAGAGTTTCCATCCAATGTGATCTGTCAGCCTTTTGCCACTTTATTTTTACAAATCCTTTGGGAATTTGTGCACAGCTTGTTCTGGGATTTTGCAAACAAATTTCTATGCCAGTCTGTTTCCTACCAAGCTACTGAAATGACTTTTATATTCCTTTGTTTCATGACTGTGGGGTGAGAGGGAATGAGGGTAATGGAATTGGCACCTGGCACCAGAGGAGAAACTAAAATAAAGCAAGTTCTACCCTGTGTGGGATAGTCTAAGAACAATTCATTCGTGCACCCCCAAGCTGAAGCACTTCGTTTTAAAGGGGCAAATTTGGCTGAATGAAGCAGCATCCTCTATTAGGGTTTGTTTGCTAGTTCTACACACAAACGTAACTAAGGGAGCTGTGCCTTATTTTCATATAAATTAAAGCATGTTAACGCAAGGTGTAACAGGAGAAGGGAATGTTCTGATCCTGCCACAAAATAGTTGCTTTTCATGGCCCTTGCAGAATTCATGACAGTGATAGTTACACCATCTTACATTTAACTATAAAGATTTTTTTTCCCCTGCCGAAAATCCTAAATGCACTGGAACATCTCTCATGGGGAGGCCAAACAAATCCCATATGTCTGGTAGGTAATAATTCCTTCATCTAACTGATCTCCTCTAAAACAATGGAAAAGTATAGCCACAGTTGCTTTGCTTCCATTGCACAGTAAGTGCCCTTGTCTTTCTGTTCTTTAATGGCAAGACACCAAGGCAATGGCCAGGAACTGGGCTTTGCTGGGAGGGGACTGGGATCCTTGCTCCTCCTGCCACAGAAGGAACCCAGAGCTGCAGTACAAGGCTGCTGCCCTGCCTGTGCAATCCCTCACCTGTGTAAATACAAAAATCCATTTATTGGCTTACCCAGAAACTTTGGGGTTCCTTAGAATCATGAAATCTCCCAGCAGTCCTTCCGGAAGGCTCACAATTTCAGGATACTTGGCCTGTGAACAAAAAGGTTCAACTGGTTCAGAAAAATCACAACAGAGAAGGTGGTTCCTACCCAGTCACAGTGGATTGCACCAAGAGTAACAACACTCACTCTCTGAAATTCTGACCTGTTGGTTTCTTTTTTTTAGAGATCCTTACATAAAATTTTTATTTGAACCAAGTTTGTTAATTGGATTTAATAACACCTTATTATACATCACCATGTCACCCCCTCTGCCTCTGTGAGTGATGACACCTCACTGGTACACTCTGGTTTGAGATGGACACCGAGTTCCACAGAAGGCTTTGAAAGAGTAATTAAACCAATGACATACCAAAATAACCAATGTTAGCAACCCATGGGACAGCAGCAACATGATCAAACATAAAAGTACTGGCTCCTATTAAAATTTCATGTTTCTGGGAATTATTTTCAGTTACTACAATGTGCAAAGGTTGACGGTTGCTCCATTACTTTGTTAGTCCATCTGATATGTTTGACGTGTCTTGTGAAAGCCTCAGAGCTTCAGAGCTCTTTTCAAAGCACTCGTAGCTCTGTATGGATCCTGCAGGTGCCAGGTTACTCAGGGAAGGAGGGGATGCACAGACACCAAGGAGCAGTATCCTGCAGGGACGTGCTGCTGGAAAAGGAAACTGAATGGAGCCACAGACTCCAGGCTGTGCCCTGCTTGTCCTACCTCGTGTGCTGAACACAAAGCTGTGTTCCAAACCTTGCAGTTTATAAAGTGTGAAAAGTCTCCCAGCCTGAATCATTCCACAGGGCTCCCAGTACAAGCAGCAGGTCTTAAGAAAAAGGAGCAGGAGAGCTCAGCTTTGAGCAGCACTGGAGAAAATAAGTTTGGTTTTATGGATTACGCCTCATCTGGCAGAGCAAAATTGCTACCAGATGTGACCTTGCTCTGGTTTAGGAATTTCTGACAAAGTGAAGGGGGAGGGGGGTTGTGCAGGATGCCAAATGACATACAGCACATGGAATTTGCTCATTTTAATTTCTACCCAGTATCCAGTACTGTATTTACTGCAAGGATAACAACCATGATCTATCCTGGGAACACAGACACAGAAGGGAGGACACTGAGCAGGGCAGTTACAGTGTTAGAAGTGTGGCTGATCAAAGGTCACTTATCCAGCAGAGCAGGGATCCTCTTCCAACTTCACTCCCTGTGGAATTATGCCCCTCTGATAACAAAAGAAGTTTTCCAGGCTTTCCTCCTCAGTAACCCATGCCTGACTTCTACTATGAGTTCTCCTAGCTTGGTGTCAGAGGCCTGGGAGGATCCAGCAATCCTTTAGCTCCGAGCAGTAGATACTGGAAATGCAGAATTAGCTTCTACCTGGAACTCAGCTCCTGCATCCCTCATTTACAAGGGATCCCGAGTATCCCATAGCTAAACACCGAGTCACACTTCATCCACCCACACCCAGACATTTGGGAATCACCAAAGAAAATAGATCAGAGGGAACCAGATAAGAGTTACAGTTGCCAAACCACTGAAATGCTCCCAGGGCTGTCTCAGGAGTTCCTGTGCAGTACGTTCCCCTCAGGCTGGGGGAGGGGGAATTCTGTGGAAGCCACAGACAACTCAAGGAAAGCCCAGTGCATGGCTTTCTGTGGAAAAGCTTCCCCGTACCTGGGAGAGGGAGCTCCAGCGAGTTCAGCACACAGCAAGGGCTGTTCTGTGCCTCCCCTCAGAGCTGGGGTTCTGGCAACCAACCTGAGTACTGTGAGAAGCCAATCCTGTGTGAAATTCACAGGATTTGGGTTAAATCCAGCTTTTCAGTGGGAAAGGTCATATTTTAGCTATCCACAAAACACACAAAAAGCCAAACCACAAATACCTACATCCCTGTTTGCTATAACCCAAGCCCAGATCCGTGCGAGGATCCCGGCTGCTATTCCCACCTTCCACCAACACCAAGTGGGGACAGGAAGCAAAGCTACCACACCCAGGCTCAGGCAGCAACTCTAAATACTGACAATTCCAGGAATGAACTCTGGGAAATGCAGTCACACAATCTGCCTCTTATATTGCACACAGAAAATACTGAATACAGCTTCTGAATCCCACAGTTAAAGATGTGGGGATCTGACAGCTGACTGAACAGCCAGGCATGGGGTGAGCATGGACAGATCCCCAATTCCAAACACTCTGTGGGTACCACATTACCACCTCATCTTCTCTGCTGAGCAACTTTCCAAGTTTTCCTTAAGGAAAAGCTGAGCAATAAAACCAGAATAGCAGAATGAGCTGAGCCACTGAAAGATCTCTTGGGAAAGTCAGGAACTCCTGAGGGATCTTGTAAACCAGACCCAAGGCCAGGGAAAGAGATCCCATAAAGGATGTGACAGCAGATGGGAAGGATCAGCCTCAACTGCAGCAAGCAAAACCTGAGTTTAATCAAGAAATATCTTTCCTCAGATGACTTTTAAATGTCAGCTTATGATCCAAACCAAAAGCCCAAGCTATTATTATTACTCCTAGACGGAAATTGTTTTTCCAGCTCCTTCAGGAGCCCAAGCAGGGAATCTTATGGGAACTTTTGTCTCAAACAGGAATAGTCTCAAACCACAAAGGGACTGTGGTGATGGAGTGCACAGCTTTGCCCTGCTCCCATGGCAGATTTTACACACACAAGAAGCCATCCCAGGGAATACACTTGTAGCAGCTATTTCTCAACAAAATATATTATTCTGCAGCTGTTTAAAGCTGCACTGCAATTTTCTGCACTTGAAATCTCTGCAAAGGAAAATGTTATAAATGTGTTCAGCTTAAGAGCTTTAGCTGTAGCTAAATGCAAAACAAAATTGTCAAGGGAGATGCCAGATAAAAGCAGATAAATTTGCTTCTGTCCCACTTAGCAAGAAAACACAAGACTGCTCCCAGCTGGAACAACAGCTCCCTTTTACTGCTAATTCTGAACTTGCTGTTCTGGAAGAAGGACGTATATAAAGAGTTATGGTACCATGAGCTCCTCTTCAGGGAGAAGCAATTTCTAAATCTGCCCAGAAGGCTCTGATTTGGGTAATTTCTCAGTATGGTTTGCTCAACTACGGCCATGTTATCACCCACTGAAATCACACACAGCTGGGAGCACCAAGACCTCAAATCCCAATAGAGCCACAACATCAGTAAATTTTTAAATGAGTTTCACTAAACCAGTAAAGGCACATTTAGAAAGTGGAAGTTTCTCACTTTGTGCAACTAAAGGAATTGTAACCAAGAACCCTTCAACTAAATTACACCCCATAGAAACACTGTATTTTCAGAATGGATTTATGAAGCTTCACCACTCATAATTAAGTCTCAGAATAAATACAGCTCCCCTCTTCCCATCTTGAGGGAAAGTTCCTCAAGCAAACAAGTCCTCCTGGTGATCCCTGTGATGCCAATCACCCAAACCTCCGGCGCTGGTGGAACCAAGGATGAGAAGAGCACAAGGTCAAAGTGGTTTTGTCTAAAATGATAAAGTGGTTTTGTCCTCGTGGCAGTCCCTGCTCAGTCAGGCTCAGTCCTCTGCTTTTAAAATTAAAATCACAAGTGACACAGCCAGCATGCAAGTCTCACTTTTTAGAAGAGGAAAGGAGAATTTTGGGAGCAGATTTGAGGGCCTGTAAGAAGGTATGACAATGGCAAGTAGTGACAGGAGAACAGGGAACCCCTTCCCACAGGCAAAGGGCAGGGCTAGATGGGATAACTGGGAAGGAATCGTTCCCTGTGAGGGTGGGAGGCCCTGGCACAAGGTGCCCAGAGCAGCTGTGGGTGCCCCTGGATCCCTGGAAGTGTCCAAGGCCAGGCTGGAGGAGGCTGGGAGCAACCTGGGATGGTGGGATGAGATGATCTTTAAAGGTCCCTTCCCACCCCAGCCATCCTGGGATTCTATAAACAACAGTTTGAATGCCACCCTGGACAGGGCAAATCTTTGTAAACATTTACCAGAATCTCTGCCAGGCTCAGGACATGCCTGGTTTCCTCCAGCAGCACAGGCACAGCTGGTTGGTTACTTGGATAAAAAGTGCTCTGTACCCACCTGGTTTCAGACCTGCCCTTTTTATCAGCCCAGACCTGTGACTTGATCCCTTTGCTAAGATTCAATCTTGCAGCCACCCCTTGCAGGTCAGCCCATGCTCTGCACATGTACCTGAAACCACTGACCGCCAGCCCCAAATCCAGTGGCTTGTGCTCATTGCCAGGGAAGCCCCTCTGCTTTGTCTCTCCTCTCCTCTCCTCTCCTCTCCTCTCCTCTTCCTCTCCTCTCCTCTCCTCTCCTCTCCTCTCCTCTCCTCTCCTCTCCTCTCCTCTCCTCTCCTCTCCTCTCCTCTCCTCTCCTCTCCTCTCCTCTCCTCTCCTCTCCCTCCTCTCCTCTCCTCTCCTCTCCTCTCCTCTCCTCTCCTCTCCTCTCCTCTCCTCTCCTCTCCTCCTCCTCTCCTCTCCTCTCTCTCCTCTCCTCTCCTCTCCTCTCCTCTCCTCCCTCTCCTCTCCTCTCCTCTCCTCTCCTCTCCTCTCCTCTCCTCTCCTCTCCTCTCCTCTCCTCTCCTCTCCTCTCCTCTCCTCTCCTCTCCTCTCCTCTCCTCTCCTCTCCTCTCCTCTCCTCTCCTCTCCTCTCCTCTCCTCTCCTCTCCTCTCCTCTCCTCTCCTCTCCTCTCCTCTCCTCTCCTCTCCTCTCCTCTCCTCTCCTCTCCTCTCCTCCTCTCCTCTCCTCTCCTCTCCTCTCCTCTCCTCTCCTCTCCTCTCCTCTCCTCTCCTCTCCTCTCCTCTCCTCTCCTCTCCTCTCCTCTCCTCTCCTCTCCTCTCCTCCTCTCCTCTCCTCTCCTCTCCTCTCTCTCCTCTCCTCTCCTCTCCTCTCCTCTCCTCTCCTCTCCTCTCCTCTCCTCTCCTCTCCTCTCCTCTCCCTCTCCTCTCCTCTCCTCTCCTCTCCTCTCCTCTCCTCTCCTCTCCTCTCCTCTCCTCTCCTCTCCTCTCCTCTCCTCTCCTCTCCTCTCCTCTCCCTCTCC